GGAAATGCTGGGGAAAGATGTATTTATCAATGTATAATAGCTACTAGTTCAATGAGGAGTTGTTCATTTTATTTGGACTGGTTTAAAAACCAAACCAGTATAATGAGTGGTTTAATATATATTGTTTTAAAGCTTACAGCAAGTGTGGCTTTATTCCTTTCAAGATCTGCAAGCTAACGAAATTATTAGTTATTTTAAACTTGTCTTTCCCATTCTTAAATGGGGTACAAGGTTACTGTACATTAGCACCAAGAGCAACATGTACTTAATCACCTGATTGAGAACCACTGGTCTAGAGGAGCTAAAAAGGGCCAAAAAGCCACAGAAATGTCCCAATATCATACTGCAGAAAATGAAGTGAAGCATTTCCTGACAATGTTTGCATAAGTCCCCTCTGTTCATTCTAGGACCAATGCTATAGAGACAGCAGAGTTAGAGATGGCCCCTCCATCACCCTGCTTCAAATCCATAGAGGAATACTGTGGTTATTAATGATTTGCTTGTCAGAAATCTGTCCCACGTGCCACTCCTTTTTATACAAACCCCCTTCAGAGACTTTTTTATCTAGCTATCAGACTGGAAGCTTTGACTTGTTTTCATCCCCCACATTGCTTCCTTCCACTCTGGCTCTCCTACATACTCCTCTCTCTACTCCCTCAGCTACAATCCTGATCCTCTTCATAGTTTCCATTATATGTCTATCTTCCCCTGATGCAGATCCAATCCCTCTGCTATTCTTACCCTTGCATCCCTGAATGCCCAACTCCTCTCCTTTTGCTGAGTAGACCCTACTGCCCGCCCCCCCAGTGCTAATTTTGGTGTCTTCTTGGAGGGTCCAAGAACCATTCCACTCCATTCTCTTTTGTAGTCTTCAGCTCATCCCATTTCCTTCTTTGAGGATCAACCATCTTCCATATCACATAAAATGCTTCTTCATGGGCCCACTAATCCAAGAAAATACATTTGGTTGGGCCTACAACACTTCTTCCCTCAGAGACCAGAGTCTTCCTACAATAGAGAATGCTCTCATATATTACATCTTCCCCAGAGAGGGAACTCCTGCCACTAGTGGATGGGGCTTCTTTCCAAACCTAGCCTACAGAAAAAAGGACCACAGCTCAGCACCTTCAATGTTAGCCATGTGAAAAGGGCAATCCTCTGCCCTGTCCTTGAAGATGCATCATCTTGGAATTGAATGGATAATGACCCCTTTAAGCAAACCCTGTCAAGATGGGGAGGCAAGGACTTACCCAGCAGTAAGTGGTGTGATGCTAGGAATTGCTCTCCTTAGAGCCCAGTGACTATCAGTTCTGACCCTCTTCCTTGCTCAATGATCAAATTTGCTCTCCCTTAAACCCCTTTTTTACCTGACCCCAGAACAAAAACAAAATGTTTTCAGTTTTAAAAACGGATATCTTGTTTGGGGAGATGGTTTGGGCAGTCATCATGACCTCTTATTTGCACCATAAATTCTGTGCTGGGGTCTTGAATTGACATACTAATTTTCACAATGCTAACTGGATTTCAGATGTTTGGAAATTTGGCATTAAGTGGTAACCCTGTTGCATCCTATCTATTGAGTTGCTTCTACTCCAACATAATAATCCCCACATTTGTTAATTTCTATATTGTGTTTCTGCAATATAAAAAACCAGAAATGCCAAGTAGAAGCTTCTGGTTGTAAAGTGGACAGCTTTCATGGAGAGGTGGTGTGATACTAGTAAAGTACCATACTTATTTGCATTCTTTAGAACATAAAAATGACCATACTGGATCAGACCAAAGGTCCATCCAGCCCAGTATCCTGTCTGTGGCCAATGCCAGATGCCCCAGAGGAAGTGAATGCAACAGGACATCACATTGCCTCTCTCCTGTCATCCATTTCCAGACAAACAGAGGCTAAGGACACCATTCCTACCCATCCTGGCTAATAGATATTGATGGCCCTAACCTTGATGAATCTATCTAGCTCTTTTTTGAACTCTGCTAAAGTCCTGGTCTGCACAGCATTCTCTGGCAAGGAGTTCCACAGTTTGACTGTGTGCTGAGTGAAGAAAAACTTCCTTCTGTTTGTTTTAAACCTTCTACTTATTAATCTAATTTGGTGACCCCTAATTCTTATATTATGGAAATTAGTAAATAAATGTTACTTATTCACTTTTTCCATACTTGTCATGATTTGATATACCTCTATTTTATCCCTTCTTAGTCTCCTCTTTTCTAAACTGAAAAGTCCAAGTCTTTTTAATCCCTCTTCATATGGGACCCGTGACAAACTCCTAATGATTTTTGTTGCTGTTCTCTGAACCTTTTCCAATGCCAATATATCTCATTTGAGATGAGGCACCACATCTGTATGCAGTATTCAAGATGTGGGCGTACCATGGTTTTATATAGAAGCAATAAGATATTCTCTGTCTTATTTTATATTCCTTTTTAAATGATTCCTAACATTTTCTTTTTTGACTGCCACTGCACACTGAGTGGATGTTTTCAGAGAACTACCCACAATGACTCCAAGATCTCTCTCTTGAGTAGTTGTAGCTAAATCTGTCCCCATCATGTTGTATGTATAGTTGGGATTATTTTTTCCAACGTGTATTACTTTACATTTATCAACATTAAATTTCATTTGCCATTTCGTTACCTAATCACAGTCTGCTTTGGACTTAACTATCTTGAGCAGTTTGGTATCATCTGCAAATTTTGTCACTTCGCTATTTACCCCTTTCTCCAGATCATTTATAAATAAGTTGAATAGGATTGGTCCCAGAACCGATGCTTAGGGGCCACCACTAGTCATCTCTCACTATTCTGAAAACTTCACATTTATTCTTACCCTTTGTTTCTTGTCTTTTAAGCAGTTATCAATCCATGAAAGCACATTCCCTCTTATCCCATGACAACTTACTTTACTTAAAAGCCTTTGGTGAGGGACCTTGTGAAAGGCTTTCTGGAAATCTTAGTATATTATATCCACTGGATCCCCCTTATCCACATTTGTTGACCCCCCCCTCAAAGAACTCTACAGACTAAATGTAGTGTTCTGCTAACATTTTATAAAGTAATTAATTGCAACTATAGAAGAGATCAATAAAAGTTACATCAGACCTGCCTGAAGACAGCACCTTAGATGCAAAACACACAGAACAGGTACAGCTCCCATTGGAGATTTTTCACTGACTTCCATCAGATAGGAGCTGATTGAAAATAACTTGGAGAAAAGGTTGGGAATATCAGTTTGGATACCATATGAAGGGACAGGATGCAGAACTATTGTTCTTTGTGAGTAGTGATGAAGTTAACCTTCTTGTTCTGGAAAAGGTCACAGATAAAGATGATATTGTTATGCGGGAAAGATGTTTAGTGGCTCCCATCAAGTGGGTCTTTCAGCTACAATCACAAATTAGTTTTAATCTAAGCACCCGTTTTTTCAGGCTCCATGAAAGGAGCAATGAAGCTATTTTATGTAGTGACATAGTTGCAAAAAATAGCTACCACACTGCCCAAAGCAATGGGCCATATGGCAAATGCTTGTGCAGAAGCTAACCTCTGTGGAATGATGTGTTCTCTGATACTATAGCAAATGCAGAAGCTAGGGGAGCAAGCTAAGTACAGATGGAGAAGAAAGCCAGCAGATAGGGACAGAAGTGGCCCTGAGAAGTAGCAGACACACAAAACTCCTAGAGCAGAGAAGAGACTGGACAGGCAGGCTTGCGGATTGCTGAGCAAGGAAACTCCCTTACTCTTTTCTACTACTACAACCCTGGGAAACAGGACGCTTTGTACATCCTCGGGAAGCCAACAGGGGTGGGCCAAAATATACCTGGCCCATCAATTTCTCTCTCTAACGGACACAAACCTGCAAGACCCCAAAAGTTGGTCACGTGCTTATGACAAAGGGTCAACACAGTGTAGAAGCCCAGGAGCCAGAGCTGCCTGCCTGGGGAACGGCTGGCACCGCGTCCTCGGGCTGGGGCGGGCAGGGCCGTGGGCCTGCAGGCGCTGGAGGGGGGCGGGTGAAGAGAGCGGGGAACGCACCCGTTCTGGCCCGACCCTCGCACCTCTTGCTTCCACCATCTCCTCCTC